AGTTAGAGCCATTTGAACACGAACGCCATGCCTCTGGCTCCAGATTCAATCTGAAACTGGAGCTGCGAATCTGAAACTGGAGCTGTCTGGCTTCTCGTAGATATGAACCTCCAAAATACTATTTCAGTTCTGCAAAATCGCATTTCCGGTCAAAAAATATCCCGCTGACTTCACTAATATCGCAACAGAATGAAATATCGAAATAAGAGACGAAACACTGAGGCTACAAGCCTCAAAATAACACTGTAAATAGTGTTTTTGATTGTGAATCGAACAAGACGACAACGAAAAAGACATGTTCGAAGGGGCCGAAGTTGTGTCCGGCGAAAGGTATGGCTTTAGTGATACATTGTTTACATTTTTCGAACAAATATGTAATTTGTTGAAATATGTTACGTTTTGACCCTTCCAAGGTCATAATTCATAAATCGCTATAATGTTTGTCTTTGACTAAAATTATCATTAGGAATCAGGAAATATTATTTCGCTGAATCGATTGGTGGTATTTTCATCTACGTAGCGGTACTGAACTGAAGATATGAACCTCCAAAATACTATTTCAGTTCTGCAAAATCGCATTTCCGGTCAAAAAATATCCCGCTGACTTCACTAATATCGCAACAGAATGAAATATCGAAATAAGAGACGAAACACTGAGGCTACAAGCCTCAAAATAACACTGTAAATAGTGTTTTTGATTGTGAATCGAACAAGACGACAACGAAAAAGACATGTTCGAAGGGGCCGAAGTTGTGTCCGGCGAAAGGTATGGCTTTAGTGATACATTGTTTACATTTTTCGAACAAATATGTAATTTGTTGAAATATGTTACGTTTTGACCCTTCCAAGGTCATAATTCATAAATCGCTATAATGTTTGTCTTTGACTAAAATTATCATTAGGAATCAGGAAATATTATTTCGCTGAATCGATTGGTGGTATTTTCATCTACGTAGCGGTACTGAACTGAAGATATGAACCTCCAAAATACTATTTCAGTTCTGCAAAATCGCATTTCCGGTCAAAAAATATCCCGCTGACTTCACTAATATCGCAACAGAATGAAATATCGAAATAAGAGACGAAACACTGAGGCTACAAGCCTCAAAATAACACTGTAAATAGTGTTTTTGATTGTGAATCGAACAAGACGACAACGAAAAAGACATGTTCGAAGGGGCCGAAGTTGTGTCCGGCGAAAGGTATGGCTTTAGTGATACATTGTTTACATTTTTCGAACAAATACGTAATTTGTTGAAATATGATACCTCTTGACCCTTCAAAGGTCATAAATCGCTATAATGTTTGTCTTTGACTAAAACTATCACTAGGAATCAGGAAATATTATTTCGCTGAATTGAATGGTGGTATTTTCATCTACGTAGCATGTACTGAACCGAAGATATGAACTTCCAAAATACTATGTAATATATATATATATATATATATATATATATATATATATATATATATAGCTTTTCATCCGAAAAGTATTTATAAAACCAACAATGAGATGATGGATGTGGGACACATAAATTATATATCATCATCCCATTGTTGGTTATACCATCATCTCATTGTTGGTTGTATAAATACTTTTCGGATGAAAAGCTCACTATCAGCTACACTGCGCTGACGAGCCCCAAAAGGGCGAAACAGCTGTCCGCAGTTGCTGGTAGTGAGCTTGGGGCACAATTGTCATTGCCTATAGGCGTTTGCGCTGATTTAAATCTGTGACATGCAGAGATCATGCGTATTAGGTTGAATGGCATTCTTGTCGTATATATATATATATATATATATATATATATATATATATATATATATATATATATATATATATATATATATATATATATATATATTCTTATATGTTCACGCTGGACCGTGGTACACCGTCAATGCGCATGCGCTATTATACGACAATAACAAAATCGAATTAGTCATTTAGCGCGGCTGTCACGCAATATAT